GGGGTACGTGTGTGTGTGAGGTACACCTGTGGGTACTCAAATGGACTTCTATTTGATTTCCAAACGCCTGAAGATATGATGAAATGAATCCAAAAACTGTCAGTCATGATGACTGCTGGGGGAGAATTAGACGAACCCTCGGGGTCTAATCTGAATAAGAAAGAGGTGACGATTTTGAAAGCACCCAACTCTTATCTTGCACTTACAGTGTATAATTTGTGTCCCTGTATGGGTTGGGTGGGGGGGGGTCTGTGGGTGCACAGGTACAGCCGAATAGATTGTATAGAGGACATTTCATGGTGTACTCTTGGATGTTTACCAACTTCATGCCTTTTCTTTAACTTGTACGTGTTTGTTCGAATACCCTTTTGAAAAGTAAACGTGTATATTTAATCGTTTTTGGCTAAGAGTAAAGTGTCTTCGTTTCTGGAAGGATAGTGTCAAAACAGGTAAACAGACACGGGTGGTTGGAGTGTGCCACGGGTATGAGACTTTTTCTTCTTTCCCTGTTATTTCCGTATGTCTGTCATACTTTTTATTTTCACAGAATGACTGTTATGGTTGTTGTGTCAATGTGCTTTTTTTCAGAAATACACAAAGAAACAAAGTAAAAACAATTATAAGCCTTTGCCCGTTATAATAACATTTGTGTTACAAGTACCGTAATACTCGCTTTAAAACTAAAGAAACGAAACAAACGAACAAAGTAAACAAACTGTACTCAGGTTGTTTTCAACAATTTAATACGAGCCTCTGCCGTTGTAATGTTTGTGTTGCACGTACCGTAATACTCTTACTAAAACTAAGCTGCTAGCATGCTGTAATACCAACATCTATCCAGTGAGTTTTACATCGCAACCAACTCTTTGTTCTCTCCATGTTGAATTTACGCGGTGGAAATCCAAGGCTTTGTTGTGGTGTTACTCATTAAGGTATCGCGGTTGGCATCAGTAACCCGATCAGAGACAGGCAGGGGAGGCAAGTCCCTTCGTGTCGTCGTGCTCAGACGCACCTGTCCAGTGTCACCTGGGCACTCCACAGTGCTAGGCATTGACTGGACGAGCGTTCGTGGGGGGGAGGGGGGGTGAGGAGAGGGGG